TCTGCCAACGTTGATGTTCTCAACCCAAGTGCACGACAGTATACAACAGTTCGCCAGTAACTTACTGTAAATTAAACTTACAGTAACAATACTGTATTCATATTTACAGTACCATTTAACTTGCTGTAAATGTATTTACAGTATGTGTACTGTACTTTTAGTTTTTACTGTAAAATATACGGTAATTTTATGGTCTTTTCTCCAGTAACATATTGAAATACAAGAAAAAATATGTAGCTTTTATTTTGGCACGTTGCCGGCAAGTAAGTATATTCACTTCCGGGTTTAGCGCTGCCGACTGAAGCGCGTCAGTGGCAATGACAACTGTATAACTTAAAAAATTTTAATTGTTCAATTGTAATCCTTGCAATAACATTTTAATATGTTCACAGATTCAGTTAAGACTCAAACAAAACATTGTTATAAACTATTACATATATTACATACTATTCTAACTATTCTAGTTAGAAAATTCTTAAAATGTATCCTAAGCACAACATATTATGATGATAGTGAATAGTGACGATAGTGAATCTTCAAAAAGAACTCAAACTTTTGTTACACACAAGAAGCATGGACTATTTTTTTTTCAAAGCTGCCAGCTGAAATACACAAACTCCTTAATAAAGGAGGACACATGAGGGTTCAGGCCAGAGTTTCTCCTTTGCACTATCTTCCCACTTCTTTTGCTGATCTGGAATTTTGCAGAGCACGTGCTGTTGACAGGATTGATCCTCGCAATGAACCTTCACATAAAAGAAATAATTCATTAGACCATTTACTTTTCTTTGTTAAGACTTTTTAAAGCATTAATTCAGCCAAAATGAAAATCGTATGTTGTTAAAAACCCATAAAACTGATTCATTATTAGAACACAAATGAAAATTAATATTCTGTCTTAATTTTTGTCTATCCAGGCAACCAGTCTTTTAGCTTCAAAAAGTGCATAAAGACATTGTTAAAATAATCCATATGATTTGAGTGGTTTAAGACACCTAATTGGTTCTCAAGCATGTTTAAGATTCTGTTTACTTTGATTTGATGTACTCGTATTTGGATGATTAATGTTTGTATGTGAATAAATGAATAAGCTTTATTTTCCAAAGATGAACGAAAGTCTTACGTGTGTGTAACAACATGAGGGTGAGTAA